GATATTACTTCCTCTCTTTTTAGACCACTTCTAATAACAATCAAAGAACAAGCTGCTAAATACGTTGTCCTCTCATGTACTATAGATTGCTGAATCTTTCTTCTTGGTTACAATATCTTTCCAGGTTATTGGTGAGACAGCTGGTTCTATGTTAGGCCGAGAGTTGGAAGGTTTGATGCAGAGAGCCAGGGAGTACAAGAAAGAGTATGGTGATTCCTTTGTGTCAGTTGAGCATTTGGTGCTTGGCTTCATTCAAGATAAACGATTTGGGAAGCAACTGTTTAATGATTTCCAGATTTCCCTGAAGACACTGAAAACTGCCATTGAATCCATAAGGGGACGCCAAAATGTTATTGATCAAGGTAATGAGTTCTTTCTATAATTGGTGGACTATTTGCATATGTGGATCTTGTCAATAAGTGTAAGAATTAAGACGTAGCTACCCCTTCCTTTATGGACTATTATGTTCATTACACTTGGATCTCCTTTCCCTTTCATGTGATACAGGGAGCTTCTTCCTAGTGTAGTCCTTAATGTTTTATACGTAGTTTGACTGGTATACACCATTAGCTTCTCAGTTAACAACCTTACTTTCCCAACACATGCTCATCTGCAATATATCCTCTTAGCTTCTCCATTTCTCAAAATATCTTGTTTATCACTCTTGCAGATCCTGAAGGGAAGTATGAATCACTAGAAAAATATGGAAAAGATCTGACCGCTATGGCTAGAGCGGGGAAGCTTGACCCAGTTATAGGAAGAGATGATGAGATACGTAGATGCATACAAATCCTCTCCAGGAGAACAAAGAATAACCCAGTGTTAATTGGTGAGCCTGGAGTTGGGAAAACTGCAATCTCTGAAGGGTAAGTAAATTCTTCTTATTGAGCAGTAGAGGAGGGAGTTGGAGCATGTGATTTAAAATTTTGATTTATATGGCTTATTTGGAACATGTTGCCTATAACTTATATTCTTCTCTTCCTGTTTGATAGGCTTGCTCAGAGAATTGTGCAAGGAGATGTACCTCAGGCTTTGATGAATCGAAGGGTTAGTGATGAAGGGAATTTCTGTTGCATTCACCTGACTTATGATAGAAAGTATTTTATTAATTAACATGTTTGTGTCCTCTGTGCAGTTGATATCTCTTGATATGGGTGCGCTCATAGCCGGTGCAAAATATCGTGGTGAATTTGAAGACAGATTGAAGGCTGTGCTTAAGGAAGTGACAGAATCCGAAGGACAGATCATCCTTTTTATTGATGAGATACATACTGTTGTTGGTGCAGGTATGTTCTTAGGAAACATCACCAGATGTTAAAATGCTGTTTTATCTGTTGGAATGCTGGTGACTAAAAATTAATACTTGTTGCCCCTTCACTTGATCCCTTGTATCACTCTCTCCTCTTGTGATAGTTTGTTCATTTGTTGCATGGCGTATAATTGCCCATGTTAGTTGGCCTATACGTCTGCTACATACTGAGATCTTTATGATTTCATCCTACACCAGAAGTTGTATTCCGTACCATTATTGGGGTCCATCCAAGTTTGGATAATTTTTTTCTGGTTTAGTTTGTGAAAAACAAAATCATTTGTTTTCGTTAGGTGCCACTAATGGTGCAATGGATGCTGGGAATCTCTTGAAACCGATGCTTGGTCGAGGAGAATTGCGATGTATTGGTGCAACCACCTTGGATGAATACCGTAAATATATCGAGAAAGATCCTGCCCTGGAGCGTCGTTTCCAGCAAGTTTATGTTGACCAGCCTACAGTTGAAGACACTGTCTCCATACTTCGCGGATTACGTGAAAGATATGAGCTGCATCACGGGGTTCGCATTTCAGACACGGCGCTTGTTGACGCAGCTATTCTTTCGGACCGTTATATTAGTGGACGTTTTCTACCTGACAAAGGTGAGAAACTGAAAAGCTGTTCACTATAGAGCAACTTGTTATTTCATTTAATAATTACAAATACTGTATTGTTCATGGTGCTATAACTTCATTGTGTAGTTTTTATTTTAATTAACTATAAATAGAGCGGGTGGGGGAGGGATTACAAGCGGGGAACTGAACCCTTATCAACAAGGTGAAAGTTCTAGTACCCAATTGGGCTACTAAGGTTGCCCTGTTTGTGTAATTTTGATTTAAAATTTAGGGAACAATTTTGCATTTGTTTGGCCTAACCTTAGTCCTGCTGGTGGATTTTTAATCCTATCTAACTACTAATCATCACTTTGACATTTGAGCGTGGCCTTCTCAAAGTACTATAGAAAGAAACAACTTGAGCAGTGATGTAGCCACATTTTATGGATCATATCAAGCATATCTTTCAGTCTTCATCATCACGTTATTGTTTCCCTTGGTCCAGTAGGCATACACCAAGTGCTCATGCACTTGACCTGCATAAATGTGGAGTATAATAGACTTGTTCTTATTGGACTTACAGTCGATGCTAAACGTGCTAGTTTTCAAATTGCAGCTATTGACCTAGTTGATGAAGCTGCTGCAAAACTGAAAATGGAGATCACCTCAAAACCTACAGCCCTTGATGAGATCAATCGTGCAGTTTTGAAGTTGGAGATGGAGAGGCTATCTCTAACTAATGATACGGATAGAGCATCGAAAGATCGGTTAAACCGTCTTGAGGCTGAATTGTCTCTTTTGAAGGAGAGGCAAGCTGAGCTGACTGAGCAGTGGGAGCATGAAAAAAGTGTCATGACTCGCTTACAGTCCATTAAGGAAGAGGTATGCAACTGAAGATTCTCTACTTAAGTTTGTTCATAACTGGTGCTTCTTTTTTTTAATAACTACTCTTGAGTGGAAGTGCATTTATATTCTGAGCTGTCAATTGAATTAGCTAAGGAGCAATTTATATCTAAATGAATCAGATTGCAGTGGAGCTTGATTAACTTTCTTCCTAAATACAGATTGACAGGGTAAATCTTGAGATCCAGCAAGCAGAGCGGGAATATGATCTTAATCGTGCTGCTGAACTTAAGTACGGGAGTCTAAACACCTTGCAGCGTCAACTTGAAGCTGCAGAAAAAGAACTGAGTGATTATATGAAGTCTGGAAAATCGATGCTCAGAGAAGAAGTGACTGGGAATGATATTGCAGAGATCGTCAGTAAGTGGACTGGGATTCCTGTTTCTAAGTTACAACAGTCGGAGAGGGAAAAGCTGTTGCATTTAGAGGAAGAGTTGCACAAACGTGTTGTTGGTCAAGATCCAGCAGTAAGAGCAGTAGCAGAGGCAATCCAGCGCTCGCGTGCTGGACTTTCAGATCCTCACCGTCCTATTGCAAGCTTTATGTTCATGGGTCCCACTGGAGTTGGGAAGACGGAGCTAGCTAAGGCCCTTGCTAACTATTTGTTCAATACTGAAGAAGCACTTGTGCGCATCGATATGAGTGAATACATGGAGAAGCATGCAGTTTCAAGATTGATAGGAGCTCCCCCTGGTTATGTCGGGTATGAAGAAGGGGGGCAGTTGACCGAGATTGTTCGCAGGAGACCGTATGCAGTTATATTGTTTGATGAAATAGAGAAGGCCCATTCGGATGTATTTAATGTGTTCCTTCAAATCTTAGATGATGGTAGGGTGACTGACTCACAAGGACGTACAGTGAGTTTCACCAATACTGTCATCATCATGACATCAAATGTTGGTTCACAATATATCCTAAATACAGATGATGATGATGATTCATCAAAGGAAGCGACTTATCAAACAATAAAACGAAGGGTGATGGATGCTGCACGTGCAGTTTTCCGCCCTGAGTTCATGAATCGGGTTGATGAATATATAGTATTCCAGCCTCTTGATCGTGACCAAATCAGTCGCATTGTGCGATTACAGGTAACATACCTTTTTCGAATCTTAAACACATGCTTGTTTGCGTTTGCACATAGTTTCTGGGAGTGTCAATGCTGGAAGTGGATTCTGTGTCTGGATATATTCCGAGTAAAATATTTCTAAGTTTGAGCTATTTTTTGTTCTTGCAGCTTGAGAGAGTGCAGCAGAGATTAGCTGATCGCAAAATGAAGATTGAAGTGAGCGAAGCTGCTATTCAACTGCTTGGAAGTCTTGGTTATGACCCCAACTATGGCGCACGGCCAGTGAAGCGGGTGATCCAGCAGAATGTTGAGAACGAATTGGCCAAAGGAATATTAAGAGGAGAATTCAAGGATGAGGACACTATTTTAGTAGACACAGAGGTCAGCGCATTCTCCAATGGACAACTTCCTCAGCAGAAGCTAGTGTTTAAAAGACAAGAATCTGGTTCAGATTCTCCAGCAGAGAACCAAGAAGCTTTCTCTCAGAAACTATGAGACTGCACCTAAATATATTGTTGTTCAGATACGTACTATGAGTTCGAGCATCTAAATAGTATCTAGATTTTGGATATACATATTTCACGGCTTTGAATAGCAAAATACCTACACGGTTGAAGGAGTTGTGTTTTCATATAGTAATAAATAGCATATTAGCCTGTAGATAGTTGTCGGTTGTTCACCCATGCTTTGTGCAATCTTTTAGCTATATATAACTTCTAAACATGAGATAAAAGGGGAAGGAACATGGGGAGGGGATTACAAAGTGGAGAATCAAACATCAAGTGAAAGTTCAAAGTAATAAACTAACTGGGCTATTAAAGTTGGGACATCCATCCATCTTAGCATTCTAGTAATTAGCATGTTCGCACATCTCAGAATATAAATAACAACTTCGATCTCATCTCCCAATCTAATTAACTTCTTTAGTTCAGTGTGATTTGTAGGAGATAAAGGAGACCTCGTGCCATTTCCTTTTTCTTCCCTTTTTGTCCTCCAGTGCTGAGATCACAACGAGAATGAGATAACTTATACTATTTTGCTAATTGAATACAACTATGACTTGCGTAGTTAAGCAAGCTGCAATACAAGCATTTAAATGGACACCAAGAAATGAAAAATCTCTGTTGAAAGATTTTCCGTGCAAATCAGTAGATAAAAATTAATTCAAAAGAAATGGCACTATCTATATATAATTATAAAATCCACGCTCTTCCACATGACACAATAGAATGATTTATTATTACACATGACACGATAGAATGATTTATTATTACATCAGAGTGCAAAGTTTTTACGTAAAAATGTTTTCTATACATGTATAATATGCTTGAAGACGTGTCTCCTCGAAGCTTAAAGAAGGCTTTCTTGTTACTCGGCGTGCTTGCATGGAGGCCAAAGACCAATGGTAATGCTATATATTTGTTGAATCTGAATGCTTTGCCAAGTGACTCCGCAAACCCAACCAGATCCTGTCCTCCACTGTCCAGGCTGTGATTAGCATAATTTCATCATTATAATCAACATTAGAAAATCTGGGAAATGAAAGCAATAAATATGGACAATCTGCTCTAAGGTTAGTACATAAATACTGAAGAAACTGAAACGATAAGAAGTAGGAGATTAAGAGTAATTCAAATGTCAACTTTATTACAAGTATGGAATAGAATACTCAAATGTCAACCTGTTCATTAGAGTAGCTGCACCTCAGTGGGTCTTCTTACTCTTCTACATGACCATCAACACAGTACTTATATTTTGCCATCAACTCAGCTACAAGCACATATGCACCCATTGACTCTACTGGGCCTTCAGGTTAACCTTCACATGACAATTTATCATAAAAAGGAACCTACATTAGCAACACTATTATATGATATTCATGTCAATGTAAAGAACACTGTTTTCTTCCCAATTATAGTAGTTTTGCAAATTACGTTTTCTATTTCTCCTGGAATCTTTTGGTAAGTTTTGCAACATCATAGCCCGTGTCTTGCCATCAGGTTGAAGGCTTCTCTCACGCATTTCCGTGTACAGCTTCTTAGCCAAATCAAACCTTCCTGTTAAACACATCCCTTGAATAGCAGCATTGTAAAGTGATCCATTTGGTTCAGAAAACTGCAACATATTAAGTATAAGAGTTGAAGTGACTTTAGTCCTGGATAATGATTGATGTCTGAATGATTCTTTCCTCCCTAATTACTTACCTCCAATGTCAAAGCAATTTTTTTTATTTTTTGAAAAAAGAAGAAGAGAGAAATAGGAATTTTCTGTGTTGGGATGGTGCCAGGGGAGTTTGGCTCAAAGAAATAGTGGTAATAGAAACAAAGCCAAGTTAATAATCAACATTCCAGTCTAGATTTTTTTTTTCCCCACGGGTTTGAGTTTTTGATTTTGCAAATTGAACATTCCATACAAGCCATGATTAATCAGCGAGTTCACTCTCAAATCAGAACTTACCCCCCCCCCCCCCCCCCCCCCCCCCCCCCCAAAAAAAAAAAAAAAAAAACAAAAAAAAACAATCAATCCACAATTGTAGCATATTTATTCTCTGATTTATTTGCAATATGGCAGGGAACTTAAAGAAGGCAATAGTTACGGTAGAAGAAGATGTAACGAATGTCACGACTTACTTTTAGTATTTCCACCGCTTCATTATAGAGAGAACCCCAAATGCATACTCTCATCAATGACAATAGAGTAAATATGTCAGGAGAATGGTTTTGGCGAACCATGCGGTAATACACTTGTAATGCAACCTTGGGTCTTCTTGCTACCTCGCAAGCTCCAATGACTTGATTATAGGATGCAGTTGAAACTGGGAGTTCAGAAGCCTCCATCTGCCACAGTACCTGTACAGCTTTCTCCCACAACCCAAGTCTGTGGCATGATGTCAAAACAGTATTGTATATATGCTCATTCAAAATAACACTTTGGATATTTCTTATTCTCTCAAAGAGCTGAATTGCATCACAATATCGATTTGCCCTGTTTAAGGCATTAAGCAAGGAATTCCATGTGTATACATCAGGTGCATGACCTAATGATTTCATCAGATCATAAATCTCAAATGCAAGCTTGACTTTGCCAGCTTTTCCAAGTGAGTTGATCACTATGTTGCATGCTCTCGCATTTGGCTTAAGCTCACTGTCCAACATACATTGCAAGATATTCAATGCAGAGTCATACTTACCCTCCCTACTGTATGCTCCAATAATAGCATGCATCGTATCACTTTCTGGGCTCAACCCATTATGAATCATCTCACTATATGCATCAATAGCTAGTTCATTCTGACCACAACGAACAAATGTGCAAATTAACAGACGGTAAGTGACTGTTGTTCCAACTTGACCATTATACTGCAAAATTTTCCAAATCTTCTGTGCCTGATCCCAGTTGTTTGCTTTTGCAAAAATGGATATCATTGTGTTGTATACAATAATATCAATTTGTTCTCTAAGATTCCTACTGCTTATCAATTCACGGAACATGTTTATTGCTGTGTCATAACCCCGAGCATCAGCAACTGCCTTCAGAATTAAGCTATAAGTGTGGCCAGTTGTTAGCTCACTAGCCTTCATGGAGTTGAAGACTTTTAAGGCATTATCAAGCATTCCATTCCTCAAGAGAGTTGAAAGAAGGGAATTACATGCATGTAAATCAGGTTTAAGACCTGAAAAAATCATCGACTTGTATATCACCAATGCACTTTTATGTTTATTCAGCCTGCTGAGCTTCAAGATCCTTTCTGACAATACCTTCTCATCCACTTCTTCTAGGTATAGAATCCCATTCTCAACTGAACTTTTAGTTGAAGGTTGGTTTGTATCATATCTTTCAGTATACGAATTCATCAAACAGTCCTTACCATGCAATTCCAGGCTATATACATCTTTGGCTGAATCATCTTTTTCAATATCAGAACCCTCAGTCTCTCCATCACACATAGGTTCTAGTTCACAAGCGACATTCAGAGCTATGTTACACAGGTTATTCACTTCCTTGAAGTTAGATAAAACAGTTGACAACTTAAGCTGTTCAATTCCAAAGAAACTGCATTGCTCAAAAGCATTAACCAATCTAGAACTAGTAAAACTAAGACACCCCTTTACTTTTCCACTATAAAGAGCTCTTGAACAGAAAAATCGATTGCTCTTCTCATTTCCATCTAAAGAAATTGCTAAAGTAAGCAAGTTCTTTATCACATATACCATACTCGCTCCACAGAGTACAACAACCTCACAAGACAAAGAATTTCTCACCTAATTCAACACTAGACTTGGAGCCACTACCTGAAGAAATTCAATAGAGTTTGAACACCATAATCAATTAAAGTTCCAATATTTATCGTTCAATTTGATCAAATTAAAGAGTTGATGATGGGATAAGGACAGATATGCATGTAATATTTGTTATCCGTAAGAACCATTCAACCTTCAACTGTACTTTTCGTTCGTGTTTTGCCAAGAGCTCAAAGAATTGAAAATTTACCTGAAATTTAGAAGGAAAAGTAGAATATGTAGCTTGAGGGAAACTTGACTTGTCCAGCACACAAATGGAGACACAGAGGGGAATTCATGCTACTAGCCAAAGTAAAATTTTCGAATTGAGGAAGAAAGGAAGGATAACGAGAATTTATTACAAATACCATCTGCTAGCAGAATGGGCCTCAACTAACGGGCCTTATTTAAGATCCGGCCCAAAACCTCTGATGATCAAAATGCACTTTTAATCTTTAATTCTAATAGGGTGGGGATTGGGATAAAGTTTGAAATTAATTTTATTACATGTTTGATTTCATTTTCAGGTATTAGTTAATCTCAGAATTATTTTATCCCATCATTTATGAAAAGATGTTGGGTATGTTATTATATTCATGAGAAGGTGAAATAAAATAATCTCATAAAGTATCTTAACCATAAAATATTTTTGTTTATCTCATCTTGAGCACCAATCGATCCCTTAGTTACATCTTCGATGAATTAATAGAGTAAATTGCATTTTATTCGAGTTTATTTTATAATAAAACACTTGAAACGTGACTATCAGAACTCTTTAGCATAGATTATTCTCCCAAATCTCACTTTAGTTCCTCCACTAATTTTTTTTACATCTTTAACCAAATTAAAAGACCAAGGCAAAACATTTATTGTCATACTAAAATTTAAAAAAAAAAAAAAATTTAAATTAAACGCATCGTCTTCACGGCTATCTCTTACTAAATGAAAAAAACAAACTCGTTATTACCCCCATCCCCATCCCCATCCCCATCCCGGCTCCCGGTACATTAATAAGCTGAAAGAAAATGGCAAATGACTCACATCACTGCATCAGAATTGCATTCAACATTTTTTTTCAAACTTTACATGGGGTAACTTAACTGCTTCACAACAAACAACTTTCGAAATGTTGCAGATTCTAACATGTCACTTAAATTTGATGCACATTTGAGGCCATAAAATATACAAACAAATTCTCGTCTTTGTTACAACTGAGATACAACGATCAGTCACAGGTTTCCAGTGAACTGCTATCGGGTCAGATAAGTTTGGGAAGTGGCAAGCTTGCATAAATACAGTTACATGTCCATGGTCCATCAAAAGAGATCTTCCACTTAATGGCAACTATGTCTTGCATGTCTGTCATAGAACTATCCAAGGACTTTTATCATCTTTTTCCCCTCTGATACACAAATAAACCAGAAAATGGGATACGTGATTCAATAGATAAAAGATTACATATAGCAAACTATGTGACACGACAAAATGGCAACATGCCAGTGCTGAAATATAAATAGCCAATATACTTTACGTCAAGCAACAAATGTGTGATTTGACAATGATACCTGCATTCATGCATCACTGTGATCTGAAGCTTCCTCAGAATCAGACAAGGGCAAGAGGGTACATATCCCAAGCACATGCCCATTAAGGCACACATAATACTCAATTGCATCTTCATAAGCACCCAATCTACAGCTGGCACTTGCTGGTACCATTTTTGCTTGCAGCATGCTCCACAGTTTTGCTTTACAGTAAGGGCACACTTCTGTTGGATGGAGCTGAGCCTCCCTCTTAATTAACATTTTACGAACTTTTGAGGTAGCAAAGGATTTAAATATTCCCCTAAAAAATCCAATATCCCCCTCTTCTCCTTGGTCAAGATGCTCGCAAGGATCAGAAACATACAAAACATCCGTCCTGCATTGTGGTAACAGAAAGCTCTTTCCAGAGGTCCTAGAGAACCTAGTCCTGTAAACAAAGTGTCCTGGAACATGGATGCTGTTGAATAAGCCACCTTTAGTACATCCAGAACAGTAAATAAGAAGCTTTCCAAGAGCCCTCCAGTTCCCATCAACACTGTGACTCCCACTAGACTGTAAATCAAGCATCATTTTTGGAGCTCTCGTCTTACAAAACTCCTTCCAGAGCACTCTCTTTGCAAGATCATCAAACCATTTGCAAACACAGGATAGAGTTGCCACCGACTTAGGATTCCAATTCAGTCGCTGAAAAACCAGAAATATAACTTCTTCGCTAAGATGCCCTTTTGTACACAAACAACTAGCTGAGTGTATGCACCGATATTGTTTAGTAATGATCATTGTTTACAACTGCAATCATCATAATTGAAATGACAACAAAAGTTAGGTCATATATTTCTAAAAAGTTCACAAAGATGACATCAAATACCAAGATACTTCAATTGGTTGTAAGGAATGTAGGAAATGATCTGAATAATGGCTGTTTGGTGGCATAAACAATGAAAATATGACTCTAGTCAACAACCCTATACATTAATCAATCATGCTAGTATGTTGAATACAGGAATAAAGGGATTTTTCAAAAGCCCATTGATAGCAAATAATCTCTCTACTTAGTCACTTGATAAGTTTACTTTTACTACATCACCTTTTACATCACTATCAACTAATTAAAGACCAGATCATTATTTGTTAATTAAATCATCAACCTATTACTCCCTCTATCCCAACTTATGTGATTTACTTTCCTTTTTAGTCAGTCCCAAAAAGAATGACACATTTATATATTAAGTACCAATTTAACTACAAAATATCTATTTTACCCTTAATGAAATGATTTACAACCACACAAATTTATATCATCCATTTTGGATCATAAGTTTTAAAAGTCTTCCTTTCTTTCTTAAACTCCGTGCCGAGTCAAAGTACCTCATATAAAATGGGACAGAGGGAGTAATACTTATCAACAAAATAATTTACCCATCAATGCTTTTGCAGAACATAAAGATAAGAATGCACTTCCCCAGGCCATGTTGCTATTATAGGTTACAGAATTAATGAACAAAATGCAGAAGTACCAGAAAACAAAAGCTTCCCAAGATTTAAAATCAGTAACTTTTCGCACAAGGGAAAAATCCATGAGGTGAATATAACATATATACTGCTCCAGAACTTAGTGGTACACAGTTGGGTTAATTTAACCCCTGTATTTAGCACTGAACAATTTCTTGACTTTGTTAGCTCTCTAGTACTAGTTTGAAGATTGAAAAGGAGCAAACAACTTTTGCTTGTGCTCTCTGTGAGCCCTTTTCTCTATTCTGTAATTCTGCACCTGCTTGATGCTTTTTAATGAAATACTTTACTTCATCAAAAAAATATTAGTGGTACTCAACAGATGGCTCATGACATGAGAGAAATAAAGAATTCGGAAGAATTAAAGATAATTTAGTTCTGAAACAACTTCAAAGAGATTCGGGCTCTAGATGATGGAAATCTAAATGTGGCACAAGCTCAGAACTCAGAAGTGTTTGGTTGGTAACCATTTAAGGATGAACTTACAGGTCCCAGAAGCAGATGGAACGTGCTTATGGCTACCAGTTCTAGTTCCAAATAAGCATAGGGTCATAATGTACTTCTGAGAAGGAGGGTCATAAATGTTTTGAAGAATTAAACAGCATTACATGTAGAGGCGAACTATATGCTTCAGCTGGAAAGCAGTTCTCCAGTAAAGAATAGGGGTCGACAACTCTAAGAACAAAAAGGAATTGTGACTAGTAAGAAGAGCTCAGTTGTAGGTTATTTTTACACTTCATGCACACTTAAAGAGTTTGGACATTTATAAACTGAAGAAAGTTCTTATCCCCTTTTGGTGGAATAGATCCCTCGGAGAAAACATAATCCACAGTTCAATATGACCAAACAGTTGAAAATAAGTTCGTCAAGGATCACATACCAAACAAACACACCTGACTCGTGCTACACTCAGTGTCAAGTTAAAAAACCAAATCAAGATCATACATATCACATCACAACTTTGTAGAGAACGAATAAAGAGCAATACTGTTCAAAAAAGTATAATCTTTAGAATTATTGGAACAATTTAGTAAAAGATATTGCATTTATGACTTCTATTCCAACTAACTAATTATTAAAAAATTGAAATTAGGAAGTAACACAACTATTTTTCCTTGTTTCATGAAAATGTTGGTCTTTTATACCCAAAATATTGCATTATCACCTAAGATGCAAAAAAAAGAAAAAAAAAAAAATCATCTAGTTAAAAACACATAAAATTATCAAAATTGGAGCTGAGGTTTCTTCGTGCAGCTGAATCAGACAACACCACAGCAATACAAGTCACATTTCTTATCCTACCCTAAGATTTAAAATCGGAATTAGGGTTTGTGTATGAGTGAGTAACTGAGAGAGAAAGAAAGTGAGATAAAAAAAGAGAACGTACAAGTTGTAGTCGCCGGAGTGGAGATCGGAGAAGTTGCCCGGAGAAAGAGCAAGTTATCGGTGGAGAGAAAGTGATCAGTGGTGGTGATGGGTTCAATGGACTTGGGACAAAGAAATTGACTGAGCCGTTTGAGCTGACGCCGAGTGAGGCGTCATTGCCAAATTGTCCAGTTGAAACCAATCAAACGATATTTTGGGACCCGGTTTATTAACCCACTCCCACCTAATCCATCGACTTGGGCTTGTCAACATCACATGTACGGCCCAATTCGATTGATACGATACCCGATCCTCCCAAGTATTTTCACAAATAACCATAATTTGAAGGAAAAATCACGCCCTATACACATTTAAGAGTCAATTTTACGGGTTTTAAATATACTTTTAAATTTTTTTTACTTATAACAGTTTATTTAAGAGTTGTGACATATAATTTAAAGTTAATTTTATTTAAAAATCAATTTTCATTTATTTAATAAATGATTAATCTATTTATGATTTTTATTATTAATTAATAATATGTAATTAAATTGATTTGTGTTCCTTTTTTAAATCTGAAATTATCAGTTACATAGATATAGGGATTCACCTACAACATGTTTCCTTCTTTACCGTTACCACCTCCCATACGCCAATCCCACCCTCCTCCAAATCGCCCATACATCAATCCCACCCCCTCCCCCCCCGCTCATCCAATTCTACACGCCATTAACACACTAGCCCACTTTTACCTTCATCTATCACATCTTTCTCACCACCAAACTACACCAACTTCACAATCCTCCATTCAATTTAGTTTTTTCAACAAAATCATGTCGAAGAAAACGGTTGTAACTCCTCAAAAGAGCCCTCTATTAGTCGAAGGAACTTATACGGATGAAGTTCATGCTCCATCTTTCAACATTTTGACTCAAACACCGTCGCCAAACATTGTTTGAAACTCCGGCTAGGGGTGGTTCATCTCTATTGAAAGATCAAAAATAGAAAAAAAAAAAAAAAAAAAAAAAAACGACTCAAATAAAAGGGTGAGTCCGATAAATCGAAAGGAAAGAAGATGAAGGGGAAAAATGTTGAAACCCCTTCTGATTCTGATTCTGATTCTGTTACTGAATAAAAAAAGAAAAAAGGAAAAAAATCAATGAATGTTGAAGTTGTGAAAATCAATGAATGGCTATCTTGTAGATGGTTTTAACGACTGAGCAACACCTAAAAAAGACAAAAAAAAAATTGTTAGGGTAAGTATTATATTCAATTTATTTTCACATTATTAAAACTACTGTTTTTTCTTTAAAAATATCACATTATTCTTATATTATTTTTGAAATAGTTGTTTGGATGAAATGTGTATGAAATATGATTGATATGTGTATGATTCCGATTAAACAGTTGATTCTTGGATATTGTATGATTTGTGATATAATAGTGGTATACAAGTGGTATGAATTGTGTTTTAACAGTAGTGTGATTGTCTATTCACTGTATATACAAAAGTGGGGATAGCACGATCAGTGAGAGTGAAGTTACTGGTACAGTTGCTAGCAAATTTGGTGGACCTCGCATAGCAAAAGAACATGTTCTGGATACCACCAATTATCCTACACCAAGACCACATACAAGAAATTTGAAATAGTTGATTGCACCTTCTACTTTTTTAGAATTACATGCTTTTTTTTTTCTTTTGGACAACTTTTTTGTGTTTAAGTATTTCATGATATATAATACCATATGTTTTCTTCCAATCAGATATCATCTACATATGAATTACTGTTTGGCTATTATAATTTCAGGATACTAGTAATATACATGCTTCATACCATTTGGATTCACTATTTTAAAATATCAGTGTGTATCCAAATTGTACAATTAATGGATGAAATATGTGTGAAATATGATTAATATGTGTATGAAACTGAATTTAATGTTTGATGGTTGGATATTGTATTAATTGTGCTATAATATTGGTATACAAATGATATGCATTGTGTGATTATATGAAATTGATTTATTGTTGGTATAATATGTGTGATATAAGCTGAAATTCGTGTTGGAATGAAACTTGAATAAGATTGGTATAAAGTTTGTTATATATTTACACTATCTTATATATTAATTTGGAACACATTTTATTTTCAAGTATATTAAATCTGTATGAATAATTAATGAATCGCGTATATGAAATCTGGAATCTGAAATCTGTACAAATATTTACACTATCTTATATATTAATCTGGAATAAATTTTATTTTCAAGTATATGAAATCTGTATGAATAATTAATGAATCACGTCTATGAAATATGGAATCTGAAATCGGAAACTTGTACAAATATTTACACTATCTTATATATTAATTTGGAATAAATTTTATTTCCAAGTATATGAAATCGTAAAGAAATCTACATTAGCTTTCTTTTGATCTAAAAAAACCCGCACACCAACATCATTGTGGATACTAACAGGAGGACATCTATCACTAACTATATATTTTATCTCTATATTGTGAATATTAGCATCTATCATTAGCTGCGATGCTATCGCACTTACTTAACTACTATAAAGACTAAAATACTCATATATAATCCCCTCCATCTGAAAACCAACATATTTCCCTGTTTCATTAAAAAAAAAAATAACAATTAGTCTTACATAATACAAAAAAAAATAAAAAAAATTATGCACACTTATCATTATTTTTTCATACAAAAATCATTCAGACAGTAAACTACAAACAGATTTCATTAAAAAATAAAATTTCAGATTTCATACCCACTTAAATACAAATTTCATACATACAATCATCATTTATACCAAATATATACATTTCTCATACCAAATAGTTCATTCCTTTCACACAATTTTATACATAATTGACAAAACTTATATAAACAATAACATTTCAAATTTCATACCAACTTAAAACATTTTTCATACAATTATTCAAAATTCTAAATAACTTTTTTACTAACTAGTTAACACACTTTCATACCAACTTAAAACAACTGTCATACAATTCTTCAAAATTCTAAATAACCTTTTTTTCACATTAGTGAATACACTTTCATACCAAATTCATTACACTTATACTAACAAATTCATTCAAACCTATACATTTTAATTTATTTTTCAGGAAAAAAAACAGTAATCAATATTATAATTTTGATCTACGTACTCAATCTACAACGATAAAAATATTTATATGTTATACATTTATACTCAAATCTTTCATATATTGCGGCAACTTCTCACGAAATCATTGTTTTGCCAGTATAAAAAATAACCAAAAAACAAAAAATATAGTGACATTAAACCCCTACCAAAAAACAGAAACTTACCAAGAAAATCACTAATATTACAGTTTCACAACAACTAATACGTATTATGAACAAAACGTATTGTTTATACAAAAAAACATATCACATTCAATATAGTGACGATGTACAAAAACAAAATCACAAAATGTGATTTACAGTTTTTTTTTTTTTTTTCATTTCACTGAAATCCAAATAGAAAAGTAAACAATTAAAAATACTAACCTGAAGGATCCCATCTTCCGCCATGTTTAATTAATATTGATACGTAGTTGCCCATCACAAAAAAATAGGATTTTTCAAACAAAAAAAAAAACTTCAATTAGTCGCCAGTGACAAAATTTCTGGAAGAAAATTGAAGAGAGAGAAACGTGGAAGAAAAATGGATAAATTCAGATTTTTGAATTAATTTTAACAAATTAGAGTGAATTAAGGAAACTGAATATTCTTAATTAGTTTGAGATTCCTTAATTCATGCTAATTAATAATTATCTTAAATTAATTCAAATTTAATTGACACCCCTATTCCCTTTTTTTTCATTTTTTCCTTATTAATTACATATTATTAATTAATAATAAAAAACCATAAATAGATTAATCATTTATTAAATAAATGGAAATTGATTTTTAAAATCAGATTTTTGAATTAATTTTAACAAATTAGAGTGAATTAAGGAAACTGAATATTCTTAATTAGTTTGGATCCCTTATTTCATGCTAATCATTAATTATCTACAATAAATTCAAATTAAATTACAGCCCACAATTTCAGTTTTTTACTTTATTATTTCTAATTATGTTTTTTTTTAAAATTTTCGTTTATCTTTTTATTTATTTTTTAAGTTTTTTCCAATTAATAAAAACATTTCTTTTTTTTTAAAACTTGTTATAACCTGAAATTTTTAATGTTATAGCTTGAAAGTCTAAATCTACTGTTATAGCTTGAAAATGGTACTATAATATATGTCATTTATGAAATTTACACTATAACAAGTCATTTATTGTTTAAATTGTTCACAACTTTTTTTTCTTTTTCAATTTTTTAATTTACAAAATAATATTCAAATTAGTGTAATATTTTTTAATTTACAAAATAATATTCAAATTATTGTTTAAACAATAAATGACTTGTTATATGCGTTTACATTAGAGATATATATTTTTCTATATTTTAATATTAGAAACTATGTTTATGTATTGTTCCAATATTATTGTAGGACCATATTGAATCTATCTCCAATTGGGCGAGAAAATTAGTAACTCTTTCCTCCAATGGCCAATCGACAACGGAAACATGGAAAAGATTAATTTTTCTTCTTTTTAGGAAAAAAAAAAAAGATAGAGAAAGATGAATGAATTGGACTAATTTAACTTGAATTTATGTTCGTTAGTCCAGCAGAAAAGTGATTCTTGGAAGTTGGAATCACACCTTCATCCTTGCATCAATGACAAATTGGAAAACTCAAAAAATAACTTTACACTAAAGTACAAGGAGTGACTCAACTTTAGCTTAGATGTTATGATTGATAAGTGAAGATAGTACATATATCTAAGTTTATCAAACTGAAGTGGCTTCTTTAAGCTGAAATGTACAAGCTTTCAACAAAGGAGGGACCTAATATATACCCGTTGTTTAAGTTACCAAAACAAAAGATGCACATAGACATTGTAACTTGTTTGGGTGGTATTGTATGATTATTTGAAATACAATATTTGCATTTGATTGTTACTTATATCTTATTATGTATATGAGAGGATGAAAAACAACAGTCAATTTTGCAGTCAAGAGACAGATTCCTTTCCCCAACAGCTTATAGCAAACACGCCAAACAGTATACAAGCACAATGTCAAACCAGTACCACAGACGACACTTTTTGCATAGTATTTTCACATGCTCCGTCTTCTTCAATGCACTTATTCGACAGAAAGTATGAACAAATCCCACCTAAATGATTCCAACAGCAATATATGTTCACTGAGCAACCAGCCCAACATAGAAATTTTAATATACCCGAACACCCACTGATCTAAGATCTAACATCACAATCACAGCCTCCATAAGTGATAAAAAGTTCACAATCTTGCACGACTTTATCTCACAATTCAAAGTAGATGCGTCCAGATGAAATTGAATTTATTCAATCAAGAGAACAGAACCAGCAAGCCATCAAGAAATCGTTAAGACGGTGAGTCAGAATGAGAAACACGACAAACATACTTAAACCAGGTCAGAAAAGCTATATCATCCACTATATTTGCAATTGCTCCTATGTGTTAAAATATTATGGTTGTTAATCAAGAAACTGTGACTGTAGAAGGTTTATCTTGGAGGGAAATCACTGTCTCAAAAGCTCCCACCAAAGCTTTAACCTTGCTTTTCCTGGTTTCAACAAGCTTACTCGCCGTCTCTTCAATCACATTATTCAACAAACCCTGCACATCTTTCTTTTCCTGCACATCCTGATGCCTCAAAATAATTTTTCCAGAGTTGAGGACAGTATTACTTCTGTCATCATCAACTCCTTTCTTTCTAAAATTTCTCTTTCTTATATTACTGTCCTGGCTTTCACCCATATGTCGTCCCAATCTAAATGTCAGCCTCCTAGGGCTGCTGGTTTCTGGCTGGAGATCAATTACCTTACCCCTCCTGAATTTCAGTTTCACCACTGAAGAATTATAATCATTAGAACCAACTGTCTTGCCTATCCTCAATGTCTTTTTCTGATTTTTCCCATCAGTTTCTGCTTCTGCTATGTGTAACAACTTTTTGCTGCTAGACGTGTATTTACCTGATGCACTGCCTGCAGACTTAACAACTTTTTTATCCTCTTCATTAGACAACGAATGTGATTGTGACTGGGAGGAAGACTTTGGTTTGTTGGTTCCATCTCTCCGCATCTTGTTCTGGTCCTTCAGAGGAGACAGCAGTTTAAGGCTTATACTGTTTCTTGCCCTCAAGATCAAAGGTTTAACGGAGGAAGATTTTGGAGAACATGAAAGAGTTGGGATCTTCAAAGACTTCTCTGCAGATACTTTAGACACAATTTTTTGTTTTCTAGAATTAACAGCACCGGCTTTTCTGACTCCTGCATCTACACCTCCTAAGATCTTAGACGAAGATTTTACCATTTTGAGCTTTGTCTGCTCAGGAGGAGAATGCTTTGCCAAAACAGATTTCATTTTCTTCTCCGTCTCTGGCATCTTGTAACTTGAGGAATCCAATTTCAGAGAGTGAACACTCTTTGGTGGCAGCGGTGCCTTTTTCTTTATCATTTCTGAGGGTTCATGAGAGTGAACCTTGGAAGAAGGTCTTTGATCGACCACATTCAACTTCTTTCCCTGTCCTAGCATACTCCCTGGAGGAGCGGATGGTTTTTGATTGACCACAGTCACTTTCTTTCCCTCTCCCAGCGCACTCCCTGGAGGAGTAGAAAGCTTTTGCTCAACTGCAGTCACCTTTTCTCCCTCTCCTAGCATACTTTCCAGAGAAGCTGAAGAATTTTGATCAACCACAGTCACCTCATCCACCCCTCCCTGTATGCTACCTGGAGAAGAAGAAGGCTTTTGCTCAACCACAGCCACCTTCTTTTCATCTTCAAGTACACTCTCCTGAGGTGCTGAAGGCTTTTGATTTATCACATTCACCTTCTTTTCCTCTTCCAGCATACTCCTTGGAGAAGTGGGAGGCTTTTTCTTGACCAAGATCCCCTTCTTTGCCTCTCCCTGGCTACTCCCTGAAGTAGTGGAAGTGTTTTGCTTGACCACAATCCTTTTCTTTGCCTCTCCCAGCATACTCCCCGGAGAAGTGGAAGGCTTTTGCTCAACTCCAGTCACCTTCTTTTTCTCTCCCAGCACACTCCCTGGAGGAGTGGAAGGCTTCTGCCTGACCGAAGTCCCCTTTTTTGCCTCTCCCACCAAGGTTTGTGCAGGACTCTGCTCATCAGCAGGAAGATTGTTCTTTCTTTTTGATAGAGAATGCCATGGCTTTGGTTCAGAGGAATGCTTCTTGCCATATTTACAGAAGTCATGGCAAGAACCAGTGGAAGCTCTCAGATAATGAGGAAGAACATCTTGTCCACTGTCAGGAGAATGCAACTTCCCAGTGGATTGCCTTCTTGTATTACCTCCATTATTAGATGTAGAGGAGGAGTTGCGATAGCAGGGAAGAACCTTGTGTGCATTACTCAAAGATCCTGGTTTTCTTGTGCTGATTCTATCTGGTTCACTTCCAGCAGAGTCATTTTCCACACTAGTTACTGGATTCACTAATTCATCAGTGTTATCCTCGGCCATAGAGTCATTCTTCACACTAGCTACTGGACTCATTAATTCATCGGTGGTATTCTCAGCCATAGAGTCATTCTCCACACTTGTTGCTGGACTCGCAAGTTCATCTGTGTTATCCTCAGCCATCAAGATTCAAATTCCAAAACCCTGGCACCATAAACATGTATTTGTTAACATTCTATTAGGTCAGCAGTAAAATGAAGCATGGACTACACAAAAGTTAAACCCCCAATTAAGAGAAGAAAAAGTTGTTTCTAACATGCAAAGCATTGGATTCCAAAATCATGTCCACTCACACTATTACTTGGATAATTCAGAATTGGAGGTCAATAAATACAATGCCTATACAGTATACATTACTTAACCTTTGAGATCCTAGGCTTCTAGGATACATTCTAGTGTCCCCAAAAATGTACACAACCAAAAACTGTGATAAATTTGAGTCAGCAACTGCTACATGATTGTTAGAAAAGGTAAATTCATGAGCCATCAGTCAATGCCTATTGAAATATAAGTTACAATTTCTTGCTTTATTAAGCTAGGAAGGAGAGAAATGAATGAAAAAGATAAAACCTGAATATAGGGCTTTCCAAGTTCCAAAATATAGTTCATCACAAACATAAACAATACGAGAAACTTATATCCTCCCCTCCCTAATACTCTCTATTTGGAACGGAGGAAAGTCCCCAAGAAGCCAGTAAGCAGTAAGGTAACCGCACTTATCAGTCTACTTGTTTTCTAGATCTTGACGATAATTTTTTCTTTCGTTTTGAAAAAAGAAACAAAAAGAAAAGCTCAAAAGTCTTCATCTAATATATTAGGTGTAATCCATATCTAACGAAAAATATTGAGAAGACAAACACATTCCACCAAGCTTGTCTGTCCAGCAAGAATTACTGTACTACCTAATTACAGAACACACTTTTCCAACCAAAGGTCCCTAACACTGGGCTAAAATTATCGCTAAGATCCTGAAAAATTCGATTCATTAAATAAATTCATACAAAAAGGAAAACAAAAAACACCTCTACTAATGATTGATTGATCTTTACTACAGAAACAGAGTATTCCTAATTTTGTCCATCAATCCAAAATATCAAAAATCCCCGCAGTTACAGACTTACAGTATCAACCATTGATCAATTTAGCATGCTAGATAATAAAACTCAATAATAAATTAAAAAAAAAAACATGAAATATTAAAAATAAGCTACCTCTTGTGAAAACCGACCTCCAGCTAAACGAAAACTATTGAACAGAGCTACAGAAAACACATAATCCCAATCCGCGAATCCAATATAAAATTCACAAATAGGTCTCTTATTAAAAATTGGTTATAATTGAAGAACAAAGCGAAAATGGAAGCTTAATCTCGAAGCGAAGTAACAGAATAGTATTAAACAAATAACAAATAGATCGAAGAGGAAAGAAAATCTCACCTGTGTAATCTACTCAGCAACAGCAACAGCGATCGTGCAAGCGACGTCTAAACTTTTCTTCTGGAATTTTCTTCTCAAAAAAGAGGCAGTGGGTTTTTTTTGTTACAGAAAGCGTGTTAGGGCCTGTTTGTTTAGTGTCAAGGGGCAAAACCGAAAAACGTTGAAATCATGAACCGCCGAAAAAGGGAAAATAAAACAAAGTCCTCTCCTCAATATTCCACGTAATATCCTATTAATGGAAAAAAAAATTATTTTTGTTTAACGTACTTATCATCAATAAAAGAAGTCCAATTGAATTAAAATTTGAGATTATGATTATTTTTTTTAAAAAGAAATACCTTACTGAAGTTTAAATAAATTATTTTTATGTATATATTTTTAATTATTTTTTTAGTATAAATATATGACATGAGTTAAAAGTTAAAACTATCGAATTTCGAACTAGGTGAGATTATATAATATTACCGTTCAATCTTATATTATTTTGATTATTTACTGTCCATAGATCAATGAAATGAGTAAGACTCACTCTTTAGATCTTGTTTGACTTATGACTTCTAAGAACTTGGCAGATGGCAGACCATCACTACGTAGAAGATTAATTAGAGTTCAAATCTATTAAACATAATTAATTTTGGTATGTAAGCTTTCACATTAAGATTATTCAGTATCTACATAACATTGTAAGCTAATAGGTACATGGTTAAATAGTCAAAATTCATGCAAATTAACTTAAACACCATAATTATTATTTAGGAAAATATTTTTTATATTATGTTCGTTCATTTTTATTTATGTATAAACTTTGCATATCCTTTAAAAAAATAAAGTGCATGTTTTACCATGATTCATATTAATTGATGTATTATTTTTCTCTCGTTATACTAAAGTGGACGTTTAAAAATGAAAATTTATTTTTATAATGGATAAATAAAAATAAACGAGAAAATATCTGGCTTAAAATATGAACCTTCTTTCTATTTCTTCATAATTAAATTCCTATTCCCTTGGTTTATTTTCTTTCTTTTTGTTTGTTCTACACTTCTACTAGTTGAACTGTTAGGACAAAATATGGAGGTCCCTATGTTTTTTTGACGATTCTTCTTCATTATCTGGCAAAGCATATCTCTAACATGTAGTCATCTACCAACAAAGCAAACAGTTTGTTTTAATAACATTATTGAAGTCAGAGGCGAGGTCAGAAATTTCGTTTAAAATATTCAAGATCTAACTAATATGTATGAAAAATAATTTTTGACCTATATATTTAATTAACCATCATGAATTAAATGTGTCTATGCCACTGATTTAAATATCTCACCCACTACAAAGCAAGTAATTTATTTTGTGTCTCACATGGCTGATATATTTACTATGTACATAGTAAACGCTGTATATATTTGACTAGTGAAATTTGTAAAACACGAAATCTTTGGATTCACAAAGTAAAGTATTACTAAGATTATTATTGTAATGTTCCTTTTTTTAAAAAAAAATAGAGTCATATTGATTGGTGTGCCAAATTTAACCAACCACCCCTTTCTCTGCACATATATCCAAAGTCAATCCAGTGAACGATTCTCTTCCTTACTTTGCTGTTGGAATAATCCATATTAAATTTTTAAAAAATTGAAAAAACAAATTATAATATCATAATGTATCTTATAACAATGTAAGTAATATATTGTTTTTGTCCCGTAATGGATGCCAAAGATTTTGATTCAATATCTAATTAATTGTCAGATTTATTAATTTAGATCTAAAACAAAGTCACACCGTGTTTGATTAAACATGACTACATGTGATTAACTAATTATTCTGATTCGAAACATAACAATTTTCAGGAAAAAAAGAAGAAGAAAGAAGATCTTTCATTCATAATACAAGTATGAAACTTTATCTAAATGTTATATATAAGTCGTAGACATAGAAAATTTTAAAGGAATGATTGAAACTATAGTGTCATTGATAAATCATAACATTAAAATCTAATCTTGTAGAGTATAAATTGATATAATAATGTTATTGTTAAATATGTCTAATATTTTAAAACGTTTCAAAATGATGGGGAAAAGGATCATAACACCGAAATTTGAAAATCTTATGCTAAGTTGTAATACAATGACTAATGATAAGAAAAAAACAGGACCATGGGATGGCAAGGCACCTTCTTGGAAATTTCGAACAAATGGATTATTCCATCGTTATAGAGGTCAGAGTTAGAATCTTTAGTTTATGAGTTCTTGATCATAGAAAAGATAGTTTACTGAATTTCGAATATTATATTTTTTTTCATATACTAAGTGAATTATTCAACAGAATTAAAAAAATCTAAATTAAAGCTACTAATTTCTATTAGAAAATTTGTAGTTTGCCCCTACTCCACCAAAGCTAGGGTGGGGTGGGGGAGGTTGTGACTCCTTGGATTCTTCTTGGCCTGGGCAAACATAAAGGCATATAGTCTTATATTTTAAAGCTTTGGTTTCAGAGTTGAGATCTCTAATCACATGTATTTTTCAACCTCTTGACTTGACAAAAGCAATGTGGGAAAAATGTCTAGGGGCCTCAAAGGGCCACTTGAACCTTATTTAGTTTACTTGTTTCTTTTCTCCTCTAATTATCTCAACAAACCATCTGATCACTTGGTGACTGAGGTTTCAGATAAGGATGGTTCAACTCACAGGCCCCATGAATTCTCTCTTTTGTTAAATTCATTTAGATTAGTTGATTGTAAATAGATGCTGAATAGAAGTGCTAAAACTGTTTATAACCCAGAACATGTTTGATAAAACAATGTTGATAAATTACTCTTTTTGTTAGAATAACTAAAATATCCTTAATTGTTTTTTCATAAAAGGTTTTAATTTAAAAGATTGGTATAAAGAAAAGGCAGAATGACAAATATAGAGTGAAGAGGAAGTTAAAAGTTTTGTTTTGAGAAAAAAGGTATTTTGAGAGTTTTTAAAAAAAAATCTAATGGATAAAATGATTAAGTATTTGATCAAATGCAAAAACGTTTATAAGTTGGGGATGATCAACTAATAACTTTTGACTAGTTCTGATTTATAAGCACTTTGAATGTTTATCAAACGGGTAAGTGAGTTATGAGCTTAGCCAAATACTAATCATATTACTGATTGATTAATTGAATTCATGTTAAGAAAAACCTCCAACTAATTCTTCTTAATAAATTAATATTCACAAATTTTAAGGTGTTCAAATTCAAAACCTCTTATATTAGAGTAAAGAATCTTATTATTATTCATATGCATCCTATGCCACACTCCATGATGGTTACTCCAATTCATATTTACTAGCTTACCTTAAAAAAAAGATGATTAATTTCCTTGATAGAGCACACATATAGCCTTTGCTCAATTAGTGTTATACCCCCTTCTTTGGCAATGACAACATTATATCTACTTAATTAGGAGCAGGAAATTGTTGAAATCAATAGCCACTCTATGTGCTGTACTTCTTACATTCAACAGCAATCAGGTCCCATGTTGAAATTATTATTATTCTTTTCATTGGTTCTATATATATATATATATATATATATATATATATAGTTTTCGAGTTCAAACTTGAAATAATTGTAAATTGCTCCAAATAATATTTAGTATGATGGTATCAAATGGATGGATTCAACTAAATTTTGATGGGTCAAATCAACAAACGGGTTGTTTCTATCGGTTTCAAATAAACGATGGATCAACTCAAAAACTATTTTTTAAGGGAAAATTGTATATAATAGCAAACTATTAATTCAAATTAAATACTATAAATATAGTTTGATTTAATTGTACCTCATAGCAAACTGTTGCTATTTCACCTCTCTCCTGGTGAATCTTGCTTGCCACTCTCGTTCTCTCCCTCGCCTCTCTCGTTTTTTATACAAATACAAGTGTATAAAGTGTGTTTGTGTTTGTATAAAGCGAGAGAAAATTGTATATATACATATATTTTCGTTCCCCTCTCTCCCCTCTCCCAGATCTCGCTCTCTCACTCGCCTCTCTCACTTTATACAAAAAATGCAAATTGTATAAAATGCGTTTGTGTTTGTATAAAGCAAGAGAAAATTGTATATATACATATATTTTCGTTCCCCTCTCTCCCCTCTCCCAGATCTCGCTCTCTCACTCGCCTCTCTCACTTTATACAAAAACGCAAATGTATAAAATGCGTGAAAATTGTATATATACATATATTTTTGTTTCCCTCTCTCCCCTCTCTCAGATCTCGCTCGTCACTCTCCCAGATCTCGCTCGCTCACTCGCCTCTCTCACTTTATACAATTGATCTTTTTGTATATGTATATCAAAGCAGATTATACAACTGTTTTCTTTGTATATGTATAGCGAAATATACATATTTATGTTTGCTATGGAGCGCAATTATGCAAACTTTGTTATAGCATACAAATATGAATTTTGTGTTTGCTATATGTGAAAGTTGCTCTTTTTTTAATTGTTTGTCTGTTTTCTAATAATTTATTTAACTACTTAACTAAAGTAAATTGTTTTCTTTCTTAGGGATATATCTACCATATATCAAGAAAAAACAAAAAAAAAATCAGTCCAAACTTGAAAAGAATGTGTGTGTTTAATTGTCTAGTTGTGTACATCTAAAATTGAAAGGCGTAAATATACAAGTAATACTTTCCAAGGTAAAGAAATTCGCAAGGCACAAATTATGCCTTACAAGTTACAAGCATGGCAGCTTCCACAGAGTACAGAAGCATAAATTCAACGTCAGAATGTTATGCCTTAGCTTAATTTCTACAGGTGTAAGTTTAATTTCAAGTTTAGTTTCAGAACTCAAAAGGTTGTGCTTCGAGGCATAACTTATTCCTACGAAACTTTAATATTCTGAGAATCAACCCAATGTTGTTCATCTGAGATTCTACAATATCTTTTCTCAAGTGAATCCACTTCTGAATAGTAAAAACTTGCACTAAAATGTTTACATCAAATCATTAAACAAAATATATCTATCGTACACATTTATAGTATTCTCACTTCCTCGTTTAATATTTAACTCCTGCGAAGATTATAGCATTTTAAACCTTAAATATAAGGAGTAGAAATCAAAGTAAAGAAAGGATCACGCAATTTGTGTTTTCATACAAACAAAGATGAGATACATAACAGAGAGGAAGTGAGACAAACAACTCGGCATCCATTTGAGTAAACATACAAAAGAACAGGCACAATCTTTAGACAGTAGTTCCCAAATGATGATACAGATATTGTGGAAATACAGAACAGCCAGTCTCCTTATCAAAATTACTTGTATTAACAATGACTAGAACCAATTTGATTCAGATGTTGGAGAATGGTTGCTATTGTAGAAAACGAATTACAACCTGACAATTGCTAAATGGCATACCCAACACCAATATATGAGATGATTCTAGGCTAAAATGACTTGAAACATGGTCGCCCTCTCACACCATGAAAGAGTTTACAAAGAGCACCGATGCCAGAAATGTCGTCAAATTATGCATTCAATTAAGATGCACTCAACTGATTTGCTGCTTTGCAACACAAATGTTTATGGTATCACATGATCAGGTGATGATTTCTCGAACTAGCCAATCCAAACTGGGATATGCAAAGTACAGAATTAGAAAAGATGGGAGAGCAAACACAACGGTGATGAGCATGTACAAAGCCAAGATAGTTGCACTGGCAGGTATAGCATACATGATGATCAGGAGAAATATAACCACCAGAGGGAACTTGGCTGTCAAATGAACAAAGAAAATGAGAGACTTGCGCAGAGAAGAATGAAGTCTCTCAATAGCAAGAGAACCACTAATGTGATTGTGATCATGGTTCGAGCCTGATGATTCTGGGTGATGAACATACTGTCCCCTCTGTCGGTTAGACTGGCTTGCTGTACTTCCTAAGAATTTTGTAGATGATGACCAGGCTGTCTGTTGATGATCCCCACAAGATGAATTATGAGACTTTGTTCTGTCACCATTCATACTCTCGAGCATCCAGAGAAGAAAGAAGTTCTTACGAGGAAACTTAAGGTTCCCTCTATAAACCAAACGAAGGGATAACACATTGCACCAGGGACAAGCTATAAACAGTGGAAGCTGAAGCGGCAAAGTAGGAAATTTCACAACAGCCCATTGTAGTCCTAGTATGCAGTTTTTACAAAGTGTATGGCCACACCATAGAACATAGGGTACGTTTTCAACAATGTTAAAAGATTCCCAGCATATTGGGCACTCAAGCCCCTCCTCCCTGCTGGTTCTTGAAGAGGTTTCATCGTCTGAGCAATCTGCTGAATGCTGAGTATCCCTCAGAGCCTCATTCTTTAGCCCTATATTCCCAGCTACACAATTGGATGCAAAGTTCCACATAATGTGGTGGTCTATAATTGATGTTAAGGAGTGTAATGTTCCAAGATTTCCAAAAACTCTTCCTGTCAGGTCAAAGCCATAAACAAAAATTACAAGGAGAAGCTACAAATATATATATTTTTTTATGACAAGGGAAACCCGCCCGCTCCTATACAATAACTCGCAAACCACGCAGGAAAGGTAACCCGAGCTCGACCCAGAAGGCAAACCCCTTGCTTTCGATGGCAAGGGGTTTCAAACTAAAGACCTCCAACATGGAAGCCCCAAGCCCAAACCACTGGGCCACCCCGAAGGATAGAAGCTACAAAATAACGGAGCCAAAAGAAGAGAGCAAAGGGAGCACAAAGAGTCATAGTTTATGCCACACAAACATATCCCTCCTGTTCTCTTCTATTACGGTACCCAATACAACACACTAATTACAGAAATACAGAATATGTAGCAATAAGCTCCTAACAGAAGATGGAAGCTAATTTTCTGTCACATGCTGTAATAGGTTTTAAAAAAAAAACTGTCTATGTTGGCTTCAAAAGGCATATCTGGTCTCAAGTCTGGATAAAGGAGAATAATTTCAGTAGGTTGATAACCATCCTAATATAGTGAGTCCTATAAATACTGAATCCCGAAAGGACTAGAATGGATATAGAGGATTCATTTAACTGATCCTAAACTAGTTTGGGAGCATAGTTCTTTGATATCGAGTTCAAATAGTGCTAGCATTTCTTTTATAACGGTGGTGTTTGGTTCAGCTAGTGCATACCTCAACTAATTCCACAGGGTACCTACTAACTCCCGCTAGCACCTATACTGGACAACTCTGTCTACCAAGGCTAAAATAAATGGAAAGATATCACTTACGGGTCGTTTGGTATCTAAACAAGTTATCCATTTATTAATTTTCGTATAACTTATACGACATTTAATAGGTAGATAAAGATAAGTTATTCATGTACAAAATTAATACGACGTTTGGTTGACAATTTAGAAACACACATAACTAATATATGTATAAGTTATGAGGAAATATGCATTATTTTATGTAGGATAAAACATGAAATAACTAATACATGAATAATCATTCCTTGCATAACTAATACCTGCATAAAATAAGTATATAGATTCACTCATAACTAATTCTTACATTACTAATACATGCATAACTCTAACCAGCTACCAAAACCACCCCTTATTATTATGTCTCTACTGAAATTTGACCAGAAACCTCATTGTTTTCCTCCTACTTCATCAACCACTGTGGCATAATTAACTCCCACTTTCCACTCATAGAAGCAACTTCATTTTTAACCCAGTAGCAATATAAGAGCCGAGTATGCCACTACAGCAAATCCAAAATTTAATATTTCCACTTTAAGCGCATCGATAACCAAACCACATTTATATTCAGTTGAGATAATAAATCAAATTTCAGTGGCAGAGAGAGCATAGACAGAAAGTACCAGATCCAATCCAAGAAATGAAGAATAATAATAGGACTCACAATCAATATAAATCGGTTATCATGTTAAAGCTGCAGCAGTATGTGTAGGGTGTGTAATACAGCAATCTCATCAGAAAAATCCAAAGCAGGGAGCTCGCAAACGAGAAATCGATCTATAACAAACGAACAGCGAAAATTGAACGATTGAAACTTGAATAAAAGCAAAACATTTCACAACTTTGAGCAACGAGATTTACCGATTTTCGGTAGCAGCGAGTTTTCACCTTTCTCTTTCTTCTATCTCCCTCTCCCTGTTGAAGCCCTATGGCCCCTGCCCACGTTTACAAATATCCAAACTTATCTCCTGTTATTTATTTTTCTTTCTTGTCTGGGAAAAGAGATAGGAACGACGCCGTACGATTTTGTTCCGAAACGGTCTCATGAGTCATAAGTCATTACTTGAAGCTCGACGTTGGCAAATTAACTTTTATAAAAATATGATTCACCTTTTTTTTAATTTTTTAAACTATCATAGTGAATAAATTAGGACAAATCCAAAAGGGGTATCACACTTCAAAAATTGTAACTATAAATTAAAAGTACCGCTAAAAAGTATAAGAGTAACTTACAAAAATATTATATTTATCGGGTTATTAAAGTTCAATAGTCATAAGTATGTTATTTATAAAAAATGACTACAATTTATATCTTTTTCTAGCTGTATTTATATGTTTTTATTTTTCTGTTTATACACTAATACAATTTTAATTACAACAAACTAAATAAGGCAAATGTATTAATGGTGTACAGTTAGCATATGAATCCTTTGAATTCAAATTGGTATCTCGATTTATAAAACTTAAAGTATGAATATATCAATGATACAAAGTATTTATAAAAACTTAATATATTAATATATCAAAAAAAAAAAAAAGTGTGACAATTAGCATATGAACACGACAATTTGAAAAATGAATACAATATAGTATACATATGAATACAATGTTGTTAAACAAAGGATGGATACATTGGACAACATAGAAACAAGAAAAATGGAAAATAATAGAATGAAGTGTGTAAGTATTCGCCTGTATAAAAAAATTGACAAATCCAACAAACGTCAATCTCTTTTTGCTCAAATTTTTTCTGTAATACTTGAGACTTGGTGTTAACTTAGGTATTTGTTTATAAAAAAATATAGTATTAATGTATCCAATTATACTTGTCTTACCTAATCAATCTTTCAAATTGGATAGATTACTTATATATCCAGATATACTTGTTTTCACAAATCACCATTTCAACTTGTGTTAATATTACAAAACAAGTATATAAGTATTCTACTATATACAAATTTGACAATCACACAAACCTCAATCTCTTTTTACTCATATTCTTCCTGTACTAATTTTTTTTATAATTATAGCCATTGTAATGGAGAAAACAAAATAATTCTTCAATCGAAACCCCATAAATATAGATTGATACAAATATAATCTTCATAAAAAGAAAGAAAAAATCAATTAAAAGATAGTCGATGAATTCAAATCACAAAAAAATGCTCCTAAAATCATCAAAAGGATCTTAAATTGGAAGGAATATGAGAGGAAAATATTGAGAATATGTGATATAGGAATATTGATAAAAGAGAAAGTATTAATGAGGGTAGAATTGAAAAACTAATGACATAAAATGTGCATAGACATAATTAATTATGCTTGTAATAATATTTTTTCTATTTAATATTTAATATCTTTCATGATTATTTGTAGATAATTAAATCTGCTATTTATTGTGTAGTTATATCCATATAACATAAAAAAAAAAAACTATAACTATTTATTTTAAATATATATTGATGTCGGTCATATTCTCTAGTTTTTTCAAAATATAATTATAAAACATAATTAGGTAAAAGGAAATTTATAAAATACTCCATCTATTTCATATTAAGTTATTTGTGGAATAAGGCACATCTATTAAAAAAAAGTATTTAAGGATATAATCTAATTATTTTTTTCAACTATTTATCCTTTGTGAAATCATAAATAATAGTATTTTATAAGTAGTACAGTTTATCTTCTAGATAATATAGAAATTCATTAAAAGAAAAAACAAATAAAAATTTCAAACATCTATATTGAACTTTGAATAATTCAATTATTTTAAATAAGGTCTAAGTCGGCCCCTTAAAGTTGTCTGTATAATTCACTTAGACACTTAAACTGAGGCTTGTACCTATTGAACACTTCTACCCCTTTAAATTTGAACCATTTGAACATTTTTTTGACAATAAACTAAAAGTATAAAGTGTGTGAAATACACTTGCGATAACATGACAAGTTGACGAATTAAATAATGACATCTGGTATTATTAGTCCAAAAAATTATTTTAAAATGTATTATAAAGTAAAAGAAAAAGGAAATTAAATAAACATTTTAAAAAGAAATCCTCTAACTTACCCACCCCTTATACCAGTGGAGCCCAAAAGTCCTCTCCCTCTACGATTCCCCACCCCCAACACGGCAACCCACCCATAAATATGTTAGTATTATAGAACTTTCTTGGTTCATCTGCAAGAGAAAATTCAAAGTAAAATAAGTTGGGGAGGAGTTGATGATAAATTTCTCCAAGTCATTAGTTCTTGTCGATCTCTTTACGCTAAATAGGAAATATATTTTTTTTACTTTCTTCTTCGTTCAATTTTTTGTACGAAAAGATGAATTTCATCGGAAAATTAACCAACTCCTATGACATTGTCGGAGAAATTGAGTTATGTCGGATTTTTGAGTTCTATAGTTGATTAGTCAAACAAAATCACACAAATCTACATTAATTTAACCCCAAAACATTATATTAACAACAAAAAAAAATATTCAAGCTTCAAGCCCTCTACATATTAACATGATAAAAATGACGATTATGATGGCCGCCATGGTAGTGGCAGTGACGATGCTGCCAATCCTACTATGAATGTCAATGGAGAAAAACAAAACAGATGGAAGTAGAAGAACGAAAATATCAGAGGAAAAAAGAGGAAGAAGAAGGATGCATTGGTGGCGTGAACTGGTGCGGTGGAGGAAATGATGGCAAAGAGGTGAGGAAGAAGGAAGAACATTTTTTTCCAAAAAAAAAATGCAAAACTAAATACATTTCAAGCCCCTATTTGAGGTGAATCACAGACAATGTGCCATGTAGGCAAAAAATGTTCAAATGGTTCAAATTCAGGAGGGTAGAGATGTTCAATAGGTACGAGTCTTAGTTGAGATGTCTAAATGAATTATGCGGATAACTTTAAGGGGACGTAGATGACTTGGGCCTTTCAATAATGAAAAAAACTCCAAAAATTCACGACACGAGTACAAGTATGATGGAACATGATGCATCATATGGGCCCACGTAAGTAGGCCAGAGTTCCAGTAACATAAATGGGCCAATAATACTAAATTATGGGCCAAGATCTTTTTTTCTCCGAATCAATGGGCTGCGTAACCAAAAGTGAATAAATTCGCAAAAGAAGAAAAAATAAAATAAACGGGCCACTCATATACTGTTATGTTTAATGGGCCATCAAAACAAATATGTTGAAGCAAATATCAGAAGAGAAGAGAAAGAAGAAATTTTGAAAAATGAAATGACTCTTCCCAAATAAGATTGTTTTTACCATATTATATATTCTCCTTTAATAGTTTGTTTCCAATTTTTTCCTTTTCTATTTTGATGGGAACTTGGAGATTTCCCTTCTAATTTCTAATAATGCAAGTGACACCAAAGGAAAATTTATTAACTTTATCATTAATCTTACCATAATTTTTATTATTGATGTTTGAGGTGAGAACTGACAATATGAGCAAACTCAATCGAAATATCAGAGACAAATTTAATATTGAATTGAAGTAAGTATAACTGTCAAATACGAAATAGTAAAATTAAAGAAAAAAAATCACTAAGTTTTAGAATGACACGAAAGTAAGATGCCGTGTCTACTTAGTGAAAGCAATAGTTAGTTCCATTTGGAAATACTATATACTATTATAAAAAATATTAAGTCAAAAAAATAAAATAAAAATGATAGTACTTTAGCTGTACCAATAAAGCTGTACGGTATATGAAATTGACTTACCATATTCTCTTATTCAGCCACCTCTCATTTCCTATCTTCTATCTTTATCAACGATTTTTATGATAAAAAAGATGAGAGCAATGTTTTTTGTTTTCTCTTAAGCGATTGATGGTGTTTGAGCTAAGCGTGTTTTGACTATTTTCGTGCCTATTGGACTATTATCTCTCACAAAATGAAATTATCGAATAACTCTGACTTAAAGATATTGATGGAAAAAAATAAATATATTAGTCTGGACATATAATAGCTTATGTTAGTTAATATTTATGTAAATCCTGGAAAGTTTTCACATTGTGAATTCACTAAAACCCTAATTACCATGACTAACTTTGAATTATTTAATTTTCAATATATAATAATAATTTCTTTACAAAATATATACAACCTCAACAAATTTCACACTTTTCCTTCGTAGAAACTCTAGCCATCGATGTTCTCATCCCACCCCCCTATTCAATTTTTTTTTTTTTTTTGTCTGAATTTCTTCCATAACTTCTTTCATTATATTATTTTCTTGACCGAAGTAATATGTATCTCTTCTTATATGATCTGTCACGTCACAACTTGTCTAATAGGATAAATATATATGGATTTATGATGGAGTAATACAAAATATTTTTTGTGGTCCGATTTCCTTGAACTACGTGTAGATACGTCCATCTTAGTTTTTTATAACTAAATTGACCCAGCTAGTACGACTAGTGAACAGCTCACATGCAATATCTCTGAGGATCATGTAAATATAGCTCTCACAATTATTCACCTCCAAAAATATTCTGTCTACTTCCTCTCTCGTTTTTTTCTTAACATATATACTCAATTTACGTGGTACTTTTCATTTTTCGAGAGTCAAATAGTTTAAGTTTGATCGGAATTTGCGCATGGAATCTTTAATTTTTTTGAAATGAAATTTAATTTATATGTTTTTAAACTATATAAAAAGTACTATAAGTCAGAGTAATTGATAATTCAAAATGTTTAAAAGATCTATAAAAAATTTACGGTCAAAGATAGACTTGTTTGAATCTCGAAATTCGGAAAGTGCATGAGACGGAGGGAATAGTATTTATGATAATTGCATGTTCTTAGGTTTTCTTAAAAGAAAAACAAAAAGGTAGCTTTTTTCCCAGTCTGGAAAGTTGAATATGTTCATTATTTTGGTGAAGCAGGAACACATGTTATCATTTATCAATGGGACAATGAGGATT